GTGTTAAAGTTTCAGAGAGCAATGAACAACATTTAAATTCGCCATATAATCTTGTGAAAATTTAACTAACAAATAATTCTTATGCGAGATTATTGATTATTTGATGTCATCAAATAATTTATATGATAGAAACATTCATCAACAAAGTATTTACAAAACAAAACTTAGCAAGGATTTATGAAACAAAAGATCTGGTGTGAAATGAATTTGTACAAATTGAAATATTATGTGAGGTTAAAACTGTAGAACATGAAATTTACGTTCAATTAAAATTATATAACAAAGGAAAATTACTGAGGTTAAAATTGTGAGAGTAAAGAAATATTGTATGAGGTGAAAATTTGCAGAGTTAACAAAATTTACATGAGATTATTATTTACCACACTTTATCAACGGTTCAAACAAAGGGTTTACATTATGCCAAATTATATCATGATCTAAATGATTGGTTACTTCAGAAAAACAATTTACTTTGAGACTTTAAAATACCGCGAACTGGTTATCCCAACAAAACACATAATAAACAAACACAAAAATATCCAATCATCGCTCCGAGGGAAAAAGCCCTCTCGGTGATGTAAATTTTAAAATCGTTGCGAGGAAAAAGCGTCTCGGTGATGTTATTAATCTCTAGCGTTGTGATGGCATGCCTCGATGAATTAATCAATCTGTGGCGTTGTGAGGCATGCTCCGATTAATCATAATAACGATGATAACCACCTAAGGGAAGAAAATATCATAACCCCCGCCAGTTTGCAGTATAATGAACTTATTTAACTGCCGTAAATGAACTATTAGCAATCTTGTGTGAAGCATTAAGAAGTGTTATAATGTAACGCTTACGTATATGCATCCAGAAGCTTATTCGTAATTAAGCAATAAGGTGTTTTCCTGATTAAGTGAATTTCATGAAATCTTCTAGCAAGTGGTTTATTTAAATAATCCTGATCGTTAAATTGTGTTTGCACTAGCTGAATATTAAGAAAAACTAACTTGATTGGTGAATTTACAAACAATGAAACAAATTTACAGCACGTGTCTCACGTCGACGGGAAGTCCGCATTTCTCCGATTAAGAGGCCGCAAGAATTAACCGCGCGGTTGGGGACAACTGTATCAGTATGAAAATTACGACTGATTGTCGTTAAACAAAGGCTTCCTCCCGTTTTATTACCTACCAAACCAACTAATTTAAACCTAGCGCTTACCACGTGGTTACATTCACACCAGCACATTCCGAATGAATCTACCCATGCAGTTTCTCTTTCTACCAAACAACCAACCCTCTAACTAAAAACTCCCTAGCGCTAAATTGTCACGCTACCAAACAAGCATCTCTGTGCACCAGGTTTCCTATGTTTAACGATTTCCTTTTTGTGATTGAATTTTTTTTTCAAATTCAAATTATTCAAGTGTGATTTCGCGCCGTTGTTAATTAATTTCAGCGCGAAAACTTTGATTTAAATTCGGTCACCACATACCTAAAAGTAAAATTGGCAACACTGCACGCGTCTAATGCGTGAATACCTCCCGCTTACTTACTGATTTCTTAGTAATAACGGTGACTGAAATCCACCTTTTATTTTTTTTAGGACAATAGCCATATCAACCAGTAGTCATTAATCGTTGTGCATTATTATTAATAAAACAAGCTGTTATTTTTCATTAATAAATAAACCAAAAAAAACATTTAATAAGACATTTATAAATTATAAACAAAAACAAAATCAACAAAAGAAAAATCCATTAAAGCATAACCAAAAAGACACTAGAGAAAATGTTCAAAATTCAAGCAAGCTCGTAATGTTTTCAAATTTTGATCATTTTTTGTGAAAGTTAGTCATCAGTATTTGCTAAGATAAAACTGATTATGGCAAATGACATACCCTCAAGAAAAGAGAGGGCGGGTGGGCGGGGCTAGTACTTGTAGTAGTAATATCCGACTGATTTTGGCAAAACACATATCCTCCAAGAAAAGAGGGGGCGGGCGGGCGGGGCTAGTACCAGCCTTCTAAAATAAGACCGAATTTGGCAAATGACATTCTCCAAGAAAACAAAGGGATGGCGGGTGGGGCTGGTACCTGTTAAGATAAGACTCATTTTAGCAAATGACGTATTCTGTAAGAAATTTAGTTAAATTATTGCAAGAAAAGACACTAGAAGCTCCAAAACCCTTTCAAACTCTTTCCAAACAGGAATACCTAGAACCTCAAGATTGTTTTAAACTTTTTATAAAAAAACGGGGTCGCATAATTAACTCAAAAACACGTCAGGTCAGAATTTTTCAAAAATAAAATACCGAAGTCCCCCAAGATTGTTTTAAATAATTTATAAAAAAATCTCCATGGCCTACCAAAATAATACACAATGGGTACCCAAGAGTCTTCCGATTTAAAAAAAAAAAAAACACTGCGGCACTCAACACAGGTTCAAAAGATTTTTTCAAGTTCATCCAGCAACAAAACATCAGATTCCTTTAAAATTATCCGAAGATAAAACACCAGGGAACCTAAAATTAACTGCGAATATTTTAAACGTAGAGTTTTGAAGACTGACAATTTTTGATACATCAAACATTTTTAAGTCAAACACTGTTCTCAAATGAAATTTTATCAAATTATTACAAAAACGACACAACTAGATATATATTAAATGGTAATTAAACATGCTCATGGACGGGACAAATATTAACTCAGAGTTTTATTACTAGTTATTGTGATAATGAATCTGTTGTTTTGTTGTTAAACGTAGCAAAAGAACCAATTTTAAAATCATTATAACCCCACCAAAATGTGAGAAGGAGTTTTTTACTATTTTTCGTAGACTCACCAGTTGATGGTTAAGAACGTAGCAGAGAATTAATCCGCAATTTTCCAGACATCCGGTATATTATGTACAAATGTTTATTTATAAATTGAAGCGTAATAAACATTATTGGACAGCTGTTCATACTTTTATTAGCTAAATTGAAAACACATTAAACTGTTTATGGGACATTATTTTATACATCTGACCGTGTTCCTCTGAAATTTGCACTCCCCAAGTTATGATTCGGATGAAATCAATTAAAATTGCAAAATAATCAAAATTTCATTTTACTACAGTATGGATTTATATGATGTTATGTTCAATAAATCAAAATTATTTAAAGAAGATAATTTACATCGTGAATCGAATTCCCCATTTCATAAATAAACACATCAAGTACATAATATATTATAGTCGAAATTATAATGTTGTCTTCGTACACACTTCGCTGTGTGAAGAGTGCCCGAGAATAATGGTTCAAAATTCAAGCCGTAGAACACACATTTCATTTACTCTCTCATATACAGGATGTTCATTTTATTTGTTAGCGCCTGACAATTTTTGCATAGGCAACATCACCAGAGACGACTTTGTCCAATTTATTTTTTTTTAATAAGCAATCATAGCAATCACAGAAAAAAAATGTTCAAAATGCCTGCCTCTACTATCTTCACAAAGTCCTAACCTACGTTCAAAATTTCTACGAAGTCTATCTAACATGTCGGGAGTTATAGATCTGCATGACGTTATTATCCTTTCACGTAAGTGGCTTTCATTTTCGATTGGGACACTATAAACGTCATTTTTCACCTTCCCCCAAAGAAAAAAAATCTAATGGCGTTAGATCAGGGCTCCGTGCAGGCCAAGCCTACTCTTATTCTCTAGCAATAAGTCTTGGTCCAAATGCTCTGTGTAAATAGTACCTAACGTCTCTCTGATAATGAGCGGGAGCGCCATCATTTTGAAACCACACTATTCTTCGTATATCTAGCTCTACGTTTTCCACCAGTTCAGGTAAAATATTCTTTAAAAAATTTAGATACATAGGTCCGTTTAAATTTCCTTCAAAAAAATATGGACCAATGACGTGGTTAGCAACAATTCCACACCAAGCATTAACTTTGATAACTTCTTGGAAGTGCTTTTCCTGATACCAATTTTGCTGGGCCTAATAATGTGAGTTGTGTCTGTTTACACACCCGTTATTGGTAATTGTGGCTTCATCCGTAAACGAAACGTTAAATAAAAAATCTTGATTGTCTCGTAATCGAGCCCTCACGAATTCGCAAAACACTAACCGTCGGATAAAATCGCATAAAATCGGTTTGCCTTTAAGATAGAGTCGCTTCATTGTCCGGCGCTGTTACAGTTCGATTTATCACTTTATTTTTTTTTTGAATTGCTCAAATTCTCGTAAATTTTTTTCAAGTTTTATAAACGCTTAATTTGAGGGAATTCTTCAATTGGGATATTGACCCTTTTCCTGTAAGATCGTAAAACTTCCATAGTGACTTTCCGTGCGCACGCATCTTCAAAACCACGTTGGAAATAGTCTCCGTCACTCCGACAGCAGAGCAAAGGCCTGTGACAACAAACCGCTTTGACAGAATGCAACCGGCTACACATGCGTAATCCGTCGCCCGTTGGTCAATTTTAAGTTGGCGCTCCAAAAATCTGACTTCGCCTGCGCGATGTTGTCTCACTCTGTACCATTGGAATTTATATAATGTCTACTCACTTTGCTTACAGGAAAAGGGTCAATTCCCTGGCGTAGAGACGTACAGCAGCATCAAAATTTTTGTCACACTTTCCAAATATTAATAGCATGTCTGTCGAAAACCTTTCAAAGCAAACGAAAATTGAAAATATTTGGCTGACAGAACTATTTGTCATAATTTTGGTCCTGACACTTACTGTCTATGCGTTCATTATTATTTAAAAATAAAAATTAATCAAATCTGTCTATGAAACGTAAAATGGGTTGCCTATGCATAAATATTCTGACCACTGAATCAGATAAAAAATGAGCAGCCTGTACAAAACTTGACTTTTTTTGTCTTTTTGTTTTAATAATGTATATTTATTTTTTAATAGTGTTATATTTATTTAATGTATGGAATGCAAAAAATAAAACAAATATTGTACAATCTTAATGAAAATATAATAAACTATAATACATCATAGAATACTACTTTAACAAAAATTATACTTATACACAAATTAACACTACCACACCCAACTAAATTCAACTAAATCGAAGATGGTCCATTTTTACTTTTGTAAGGACAGTGTTCACATTTGTACCATTTAGCTTCAATTTAATCCTAATGGTGGTTATTTATATGTGACTTTAAACCACTATTGTTTTTCGTTTTATATGGACAATAATCGCACTGATACGCTTTGATTTCCAAATGGACCTTTACATGCCTTGTTAACTGAGTTTTCGTTTTACTTTTGTATGAACAATTTGCACATTTATACCACTTAACTTCTCCTTCGCCCAAATGTCGATAATTTACATGACTTTTTAAATTCGATGCATGTTTAGTTTTGAATGAACACTGTTCACATTCATACCACTTAACGTCTTCGTCGTCCAAATGTCGAAAATTCACATGATTTTTTAAATTCGACGCATGTTTAGTTTTGTATGCGCAACTTTCACATTTGTACCACTTAATTTTTTCTTCGTCTAGATGCTGTGCAGCTACGTGTACGTTTAAGGATCTTTTATGCTTAGTTTTGAAAGAACATTCGTTGCAGTCATACCATTTAACGTCTTCTTTGTTCAAGTGTAAGTTGTTTATGTGCTTTTTTAAATTAGTGTTTGTTTTGGTCTTGAATGAACATTTTTGGCACTTGTGCCATTCAATATTTTGTTCATCTAAGTGAAGTAGATTTATGTGCTTTCTTAGATCTGTTTTATGTTTACTTTTAAACGGACACTTGTCACATGCATACCGCTTGTTCAAAGTGTGGTTTCTTACATGTCGCCTTAAATTATGTTGGAGTTTAGCTTTGTAAGAACATTTAACACAGTAATACCAACGTGTTCCGTCAGTTTGCTCAAAATCGAAACTGTATGTGACATTTTGTTTCAGAGAATTAACAATTTGAAGATTTTCCTTATTTCTCGCGCATGCTGAAGTATGCTGAAGCCACTTTAAGGAGAAATTTGTTTCAAAGTTGCACTTTTTACAAACGTAGATTTGTATGTGGAAATCCTCACTTGATAAATCCTCTCCACATTCTCTCTTCAGGTTAAAGCCATGATATTTATTAATGTGTTGTTTGAACAAAAGCGATAGTTCTGTTTTAAAATCGCAGTCTTTACAGTAATACACTTCAATTTTGGCGTTTTCACACGCAAAGTCTTCCAGAGATGAACGGTGTCGCTTCACATGGTCCGTCATAAGAAAAAATGATGTTGTAAAGTAGGGGCATAGTTTACAGTTGTGTATTTCTAAAGTTAACATTGAAGTTGCCTAAAATCGTTTTATCACAGTATGAAAGAATACTGGTGCATTTCTTACCCAAAATTTCGCGGAACACATGCAACTTGGACGCACATAACAGCACAATCACAAATTAAATCCACTAGTGCAACATAACCTCAAACCTCAAATCATTAGTCCAAAACAGTAAACAATGCAGTAAACTGTCATATTAAAAGACCTTATATTATTAGTAGACGTTACACAATACCCATTTGTGCGTGACTTAGCAGTGCCACAGAATACCATACAGTAAGGACAGCTTTTGAAAGCCCCATAAGAAATACACGTAATCGACCGTTGGGTAAGGACATGACCTTGAATTTTGGCTTGAAACTGTAGTGGCAAACCTTGTTACTAAATAAAATTTACCACCATGTCAACATTGTGCGTCAAATTTGACATTTTAGATGTTTGGTATTTAATATTGTAACTGTGATTTATTATTTTTACTGAATAGAAAATGCGCGTTCGAACAAATAAATAGAATAAATAATCTTATGGAAACTGTACACAGGGCACAGGGGTGCGGTATGCTGGTATGGACACAATTGCGAGGGCTGCTTTTATATATCGGCCACATGAAGGTAAAATTGAGTTGGTAGAAAATAGTGAAGCAAATCGTTTTTCTAGGGCTGCAACATAAAAGGTGAATGCTTCATGTAGCATCTTGAGCCCGCCACTCACGTTCCAACGCCGCAGTACAATTGTGTTGGATACGACGAAATTGAAGTGTTTTTGAACGTCTGTGTATGCGATCAAGCAAATCGGTTGGATGTGGACGGTCGGTGAGCAAGTCTGTCTGCAACAATACAATCGTGTTGTATTGGATGGAAATTTGATCATGTGTGGACATGACTCGACAGTGTATGTTATTCAAACCGTGAGAGCAGCTATAAAAGTACATTTTCGTCATTTTGTCGGACATGTTGTCATCACGATCGCAAATTTTTAACTGCAAGGTCGTAACTTGTGTGTGTACTACGGCTTTTTAACAGAATTGTACAACAGTTGCATCCAATACAATCGTACTGGGACGTTGGAACGTGAATGGAAAGATTTAGGATTACCAAAATGGTGAATCATCATCAAAGGCGTTGAAGTGACAGAGAAGTTTATCATATATGATGACATTACGTGCAACGGCAAAATAACTACATGTTTCACAGGTATATTTCATCAAGCATTTCTTCATTAAGTATCCACAGACATAACTTAAAGAATTTTGTTCCCTCATGTCCAGATGTTTGTAGTCTGTCATATTTACTTCCACAGATTTATGTGCAAAAGTTGTTCAGCTTAAAACTGTATTAATAATTTGACACTGGTTACTTTCTTTAGATTCAATTGCTAATAAAATAGATCCTAAATCATTGCAACTATTGGCATTTTCACTGTGCTGTAAAAATTGGACACCAAATAATTTTTTATTGATTATAGAATAATATACTTCTTTATATTTCTTATCTTACAGATTCCAAGGGAAATTTAAAGAAGCCCCTGAAGCAGGTTTTTTCATTGTGCCTGCAATCACGAGGTGGTCTACCACTGTAGTCCATGTTACTATGAAAAGGTTCTCAGAATCACTTCACTAATTTAATTAACAACAAAAATCCAACCAAAAACATCAAAGTGCCTTTCCCAGGGAAGATGAAAACAACAGCGTTCACTTTCTGACTCTTCAAACGGTTCACACTTGGCGAAAATTGAAGGCATTGACAAAATAGGTAGTTGATCTGTTTATGTTGAAATTAACTTGGTAAAGTGATAGACTTTTATTAATGAATAAAATAAATATAAGCACAATTCATTTTTGTTGTTCAAAATGGTATTTTTTCGTAGTCTTCATACCACACTCCAAAAATTGGTTTCAGTTCATTCGATGTTTATATCAGTTCCTTTTACATTGTTTTATGGACGAGCTGTATTTGTAATTTAGGCAACCAATATTCCACTTCGTTTCAAAAATCCCGCCTAATCAAAACGGTTGGGTAAGGACACGTTCCAATATTTGACGAGCTGTCTCTACTGTATGGTATACTGTGGCAGTGCCTTGACAGACACAGAATATGTCGTTTTTAACATGGTACTTGCGTACTTGTACCATGGTTTTTAAGAGTGTGGACACGAAATGACAGTTTCAACTTTAAAATATTTTAGGTTATATGTTATATGACTGGTTGTCAGAAACACGTGTATGCCAAAATTGTTTACCAACATGGGTAATGGGGTTGTGACTGACGAGAATCCTAAGCACTAAATTAATGGAGCGCACACACACCTACCTTTGCAATATTTTATGGCGCCTCATTTTCAAAAACAATCACCGTAAGTTATTCGTAATCAGTGGGAGTATCTTCAGTGATTAATGGTGGTCTTTCTTGCTTATCTGAAAAAACTGCTTTTGCTATCTACGTACAGTTATCAAAAATAACAGAAACACGTAAAAATTAAAATGATTACTTTATTACATATTAACTTACCTAGTGTAAATAAGTACAACCCACACTGAATGGCAGAAATTTTCACAAAACTGTGTTAAAAATGAAGTGAGTAATGGATACACGATGAAGTTTCGGTGGTTGAGAACCAACTGGAAATATTGGAATGCTTCACTGTGAAGTGCAATAAACATAAATACCGAAAAAAGGGAAAGTCCGATTGCACGTCGCAAACATCTGATGTACTGTATAGTAAATACGGAAGTTGAGCATTATTTTTTCATTAGATGAAATAAATTTAATAAAACTAAATATGAAATCACTGTCTAATTTTTTTGGTAACCATCATCACTTTATAAACGTCTTTATAAAATCAAAATTCGACGAAGGAATTCTTCAAACCCATAGACAAACTCAGATAAGACGCGTAGAAACATATGACGAATCTGGAAACATGGCGAATGCGCCGTCTGGACATTGAGTAAATGTAAAAATGAAAACCGCGCATCACGTGGCTCTGTTTATGGAAAGCTGAAGTTGCATGTGGTCCACCATTACTCATTTCTGTGAGATCAACTCCTTTGAACGTTGTTTTCTTTATTCTGTGTTGTGGTTTGACTCATTTCAAGTGTTTATTGGACAATATTTATGCGTTATTCGTTTATTCGATTATACAATAAAATTCCTATTGTTACTAGGAACTAGGTAAGTACTTTAATAATAATGTGGAAAGAAAATTGCGTTTTGTAAAATTTCACCCACTTTCCATCTCTGTATTTAATAGACTATTTATTACACACTGTTGATTTTAACCAATTTTACAGGAACATCGAAAATAATTAAATCAGAGTCACTGGGAGGAGGAAATAATTATAAATTAATATTGGTTTTTGATCTGAAGACTACAAAAGCACAAGTACCTACGTCATTACTTCTAGTTATTGTTTGGTAAGTGTATAAATAAATAGCTACCTATCTAATATTTTAAAAATTGTTACTTCATTACTTACTTCATTTCAATGAATTTCTGGTATTAATAACATTTTATTGTTGCAGGTTACAAACCCATTCTATAATATTACAGACGTGCGTCAGGAGGTAATTAGTATTATTATATTCTTTAGTAATATTTAGTTAGATTATTTGGTTGCGATTTTTCAATATGACAAAACAAATTGCTAGCTACAAATGTAGATACCCATTATGTACAAGTGCATATTACAGAGGCAATCAAAATAAAACTTTTTTTACATTCCCGTCTGTAGAATGTGTTAGAAAACAATGGTTTGAAGCTATGAATCATCACTTAATTAAAAAAGTTGAGTACTCTGCCACAAAAATGTATTTATGTGAAGATCATTTTTCTGACACTGCTTTTACAAGTACATTAAGGAAACGGTTAAATAAATTTGCAGTTCCATCATGTTTCGACAGCTCAAAAATATGTGGACTTTCTGCAGATCTAACTTTGAATCCTAATTGTATAGTGAACCAAGAGTTATAAGGTTATATGGCCATCATAAAATCATCCCATTGTGTCGAAGTTAAGTTGTTTACAATAGAAAAGGTTTTAGGGTCGTAAATAACGTGTCCACTGCAGCTCGACCGGCTCTTGTGGTTTCGTTCAGGGGCGGCTTTCACTAAATATGAAAAGCCACCACTCCACTATTTCTTTACTACCTGCAGCCGCTGAGGGTTCCGAAATAACCACTCGCTTTGAAAGCCGGCCCTCTTAAATATGAGCAAGAAATGTTTAGAAGATGATTTATTGCCAACCGGTAAGCTTAGTGCGAACCACACAAAGGGGGTGTTTATTTGCGGTCAACTACTTTTATGATGGCCATATAACCTTATAGGTCTTGGTTCACTATAATAACTGTAATGATTCCGAAATGTCTGCAAGTTCAAATAGTAATTGTGTTGACAATCTCAGTGGTTATTCTGATTTAACAAATCCAATTTATTCTGATTGTGACTTTGATCAAAAGGTTGATTTATTTGATATTGCTAATACATCGAAAAAATCCGCTGATTCTACACTTAAAAAGAGAAAGAGAGAAATGTCTGAATCACATTTAGGAAGGGCAAAGCGACAAAAAGGAATTCTACAGCAAATTAATTGCAAATCAGTAAAAAATTTAACCCCTAGAAAAAAACATTTATATTTTTCATGTAGAAATTTGAACGTTCAGTTACACAAATTAAAAACCAAACTCCTGAAGTCAAAGGATAAAATAAAGACCGCATACGATTTAAGTAACAGTCCACTTTTTAACACCATTGAAAATAATTTTGACGCTTCTGGGGTCTCTTTTATAAAATCACAGTTTGTAAATGCAAACAGAAAGAGACCACGTTACACTACAAAAAGCAAAATATTTGCATTAGCTTTATATAAAAGAGGACCTAGATGTTACAGGTTTTTGCAGCAGTTTGTAAAGTTACCTTGCAAATCCACTTTGCAAAAATTGTTAATGAAAGTACCATTTGAAACTGGTATAAACCAGCAATTGTTGGACAAAATTAAGAGGGACGTAAAAAAGGACACCTGTAAAGCCAACAGATGTTGTTCCATTATGTTTGACGAAATGGCTTTGTCAGAGGAGCTGACATATTCAAAAACTTCAGATAAATTTGTAGGGTATGTTGACTTGGGAGGTTCTCGTCGCCAAAATATTATTGCTAATCACGCTTTAGTGTTTATGGTAAGGGGTGTACGTAAGTCATTTAAACAACCTGTGGCTTACTACTTTACGAGAGACACAATAAAGACAAAAGACTTAACGACAATATTATCTGAAGTCATTACAGCAGTTCAATCTACAGGTTTAATTCCAGTAGCCATTGTTTGTGATCAGGCTTCAACAAATAGGTCAACAATTAAGGACAAGGTGATACGCTCGACTGGTAAGGTTAATAAACCGTATTTTTTTGAAAATAACAAAAAAATCTGTGTTATACATGATGTTCCCCATCTGCTAAAAAATACTAGAACGGCTCTTGCGAAATATAATATTAAATATGACACAAATAAAACAGCAAAGTTTGAGTATCTCCAAAAGGCTTATGATAATGATCAGAAAACTAGACGTTTTTCCCAGTTACCTCGAATAAGAAGGTCATATTTGGATGTCGACAAAAAGAATTAATTTCTTAAAATGAAAGTATCTGTAGCAGCTAAAACTATGAGTCATAGTATGGCTGCTGCTATTGAATCACAAGTATGTACTGGGAATAATCCTTTACCATCTGAAGCTATTCATACTGCGGAATTTGTTGCTGACATTGATAAACTTTTTGATTCTTTCAATGGCATTTCTAGGTACCCTGTCAAAAGTAAACCTTTGAGATGTAGTATTACAAAAAAGTCCAGGCACATAACATTTTGGGATCAGATTATTCACAAAATAGATAACTGGCAATTTCAGCCGACGAACGGAGGCAAAATAAAGCAAAAAATGCCTGTTAAAACTGGTTGGAAGAACAACATCAGAGCGATGAAGGAGGTCTGGAAAATTTGTAAAGGTGCTGGAATGACATATTTACGCCCCAGGTCATTTTGTCAAGATCCTCTTGAAAATTTATTTGGCACAATTCGTCAACATGGTCATGGAAATGTAAATCCTTCATGTTTCCAATTTATTGGATCTTTAAAGACATCGATTTTAAATAATTTAGTTTCAAATAGAAGTCCAGGTGGTAATTGTGAAAAAGACGAATGTCAGTTACTCAATAATTTGCAAGACTTTTTAGAACAGGAAAATGAATTAGCCACACCTTTGGTTGAGCATGAGAATAATGAATTATTGAATCTTGAATTACCTCCTCCAGTTTTCATTAACGATTGCAATTTTGATACACAGGCATTAACGTATGTTTGTGGTTATTTTGTAAAAAAAATTGAACATTTTACTTGTACTGAATGTAGGCATTGCTTGATTGACGAAAATTTGCAACCATATCATATATTCACATATTTTAAGGAATATGATGACAACATGCAAAGACTGAAATATGTCACAAAACACCTATTACAATATATTGCTCATGTTCATGATATTATTGTACTATGCATAGATAGACTAGGGCATATTTCAAATATGAAAACCAAAATTTTTAATGTTATTAAAGAAAATACAGATTTTACTTGGTTCACTTGCGAAGACCACAAAAAAGATATTGTGATGTTATTACTTAATATAGCATTTGACTTAATAGCAAAAAAGCATGCAGGTACTATTAAAAAAAGTATAGAGGAAGCAAGAAATGCTAAAAAACAAAAAAATAAATTAAAAAAAATTATTCATGCTAGTAGATAATAATTTCTGTACATATTAAAACACTAATTAATTATTATTATTCTTCAATGCACAGAATGTCTCCAAATTGTTTTAAATAATATACAACACTCTTATATATTTGTACAACGTAAATTATTAATTCTTTGGGTACATAATGCAGTCTTAATTTAAAAAATCCAAATTTAAAGATCTACAATCTTCTTGTCCTATAAATTGAATCGGTTGCACACACTATTAATTTTTGACATTTTTGTCATTCTGTTTTTTAATTTAATAAAAGGCTGGTCGTTAATACCTGCAACGAATGGTACTTTCCTAAGAATTTTAAACAGAGTTGACTTTGAAGGTAACTGTAAAAAGCTTCTTAAAGATCTGTATGAACTTCTTAAATTTCTATAAAAAATTATCTTATTACCGCCACAATCGTTTTGGGTTACAAAATGGTTGATAGAGCAAACTTGTGGAATCTGTTATGAACGGTACTCGTAAAAAATTATCACTAAAGTGGTCTCCACACAAATAAATCTTAATATGTAATTTTTTAATGCCCCAAAATTAAGTTAGATGTGTGGCTAAACACGCTTGCAGCGTACACTATACCTGTAAAAATAATTAATAAATTTAGGTATGAATAAATTGTTAAGTTATATTATTTAATGGCATAGTTTTTAAGTTATATTATTGTGTATTTAGGTTTCTTGCTGTATTTGGGCAAGTAACCTGTAAGCAAAAAAAATGTATTATTACTAATGTATTATGTATTATATAAATAACTGTTATATTTACTAACGTTGTTTTTTATTTGTAATAGATATATTAATGGTTTCAAATTTTTTGGGCAAGTAACTTGTAAGAAAAAAAAGTATTATTAATATTGTTATTAATGTATTATGTATTATAATAACTGTTATTTTTACTAACATTGTTTTTTTATTTGTAATAAAAATAAAAAATAATGTTTTTGTCTTATTTACCACTGCCAATTGCTTTGAAATGAAAGCACAACGCCGAGCACGGAATTGTGGCACATATGTCTTTCTAATGACATATTTCTAAATCAATGCCTTAATAATATGTTAAACTGAATGACAGGTGTTCCCAGGATTCCATGCTCGGCGTGTTGCTGACTGGGTACGGTACTCGTTTGAATGGTTGGCGCCCTTACGTATAGTTCGCCCAGACAAAAGTGGTGCGCTGTGTTCACTGTGTCAAACAAGAGCATGGTATCTACTCGTCTCTCTCTTGCTTTGTCTATGTTCAAACCCTTGTCTCGTTGTAGGGACAATGGACAAAGCATTTTTATGACTTTGTTTGTGTCGTACGGTCTTTTCTCTATTATATGCTCAACCCCGGATGTTCTATTTATAATTTGCCAAGCAGGTACTTACAAAATAACACTTCAACACAAGAGTGAACAAGTTTACAGAAATAATTATTTTATTAGAAATTATTACAATGAAAAAACTTGTCTTTGGTGTATTTCTAATAAAGTCGTATTTTTTGCTCTAAATATAATTAAGCATTATGAAGGCCACTTTTTAAAGAATACCAGTATTTTCGTTATAATTCGAGCTATTCATATTTAAACTTTTTGAACTAAGATTTAAACGGCCAACAACTACGCAGAGTTTAGTGGCAGAAATGTGAAGATTTAAAACACAATCGTGTTGCAGGTAAATGGAATTATTTAACAAATTCTCGTTAAGTACCTTCAGGTGTACAAGGTCTAGGTACTTGCTTTGAGAGACAATAAAACCCTCGTTACGTTTACGATTACGCCCCTCTGCTAACAATAGCAGTTGGAGAGCGAGTTCTGGGGAATTTCCTAATTTAGGTAGATTTTCGTAATAAGGGACTGTGGAACGCTCCCAGTTTCTCTCGACTGATAATAGCCAGTTTGGGTGCATTTCTGCAGAATTCTCTAATCGCGGGTGAATGGCCTGTAGTGGATTGAAAAGGGGTTGCACAAAGATCGCTTTTAAACCCGTTGCTTAATGACCTGCTTCCGGTTTTGACGGTTTTAACTTCCAAAAACCGAGAAATAATTTGGGCTGAAATAATTTTGTGATGATGGGAAGTATTATTTTTTAAATACGCAACACTGCCGCTAAGAATCAACTCCAGCGCGGTATTTTGAAGCACCGGTGGGTTTTTACTGAAATGATTTTTTATTTTGCGTTCGGGATTTTTCGAACGTTTTTCCTTGTCAAGTATTGTTACGTTTGACGTATTGTCTTTAATATTTGAGTCTACGGATTCACATAAATACTGCGATCTAAATTTAAATTCGTTACATACTAACAATAAGCCACAGTTTTTCGAATTAACTGCAGGACTTTTTACTTTGTCTAGTGCGGTAGATGACTCTGCACTAGATGTTCTATCTAAATTAATTTGAGATACGCCTTCGGAGTTGTAACAATCATTAACAGGATGATTTTTCTCTTCATTGGGTGTTGAATTTGGAAATTTGGAACGATTCGATATTATACTAGGCGTTTTTGAAAGAACGGAATCAGGAGGGGATTTTTTACTAATAGTGAACCGCAATTAACACAACACGTAGAGCATTGAAATGGGTTTTGTGAATTTTGATGGGTTCTCCATTTCGTAATTTGTGTACCTTTAAATGCAGTTTTGACAAGCTTTTTCCAGATCCGTGGTTGGCACGTTAGTGTTTATCTTACATGAATTCGAGAAAGTATACAATGGATTAGTTTTCTCAATGAGAGCATTATATAATTCGGTTATTTTATGAATATAACTTAGCACGTCACTGATATTATAAATTATAGGTTAGATCGATTCCGTGTTACTCGTGTCATTCGGGACTACCATTGTTTCGGATTTATGCTGAACTACAAGTATTTGTAATTCTGAATAAATCCGCTGTACGTCTTCAAACCGACGCTTTAAATGACCTCTTTTTTGATGATTTGCAACATTTGGTATAAAATTAGAATGTGAATCTATTTCGCTGAGAAGAATTGAAAATTTAACAAAAATATTGTCTTGGATTACCACCATTTTGAGTACGAGAATAAATGTATTACACCAACCGAACAGAATTAAAGCTTACCTGGAATCCTGGGCTCCTGGATAGAATTATCTTGGCTGATGCTGAATGATACTTGAGGAGTTTGCACAGCACTCGCGGTCGTCACCGATAGTTGAACACTGCGCAGATGATTTCTAGATGATGTTTTGATCACTACTTTGCTGAATTCTAGCCGATGAATGATATGTTGAGAATTACACTTATCACTACCACTGTTATTCTGTCGCTAATCCGACTCGAAGGACCATGTCGAAGTTTGTATAATTGAATAAAGACCAGTTAGATAAATGTATATTGATAGTGACAAGTGATATGACCAATGAAGAATGTGAATGTATGAGTTAAGAATTATGAATGAATGCTACCCTGTGTTCCAAAGTGGGGGTGACTCTGGCTCCCACCGTTACGGGTGCGGAGGGGTGAAACAGGTCCCCGGCAGAACCACTAACAATTTCTGTCATTCTGGTAATATATATTCGTGACCTCACACTTAGTTTAAAAAGTACTTAACAACTTCGCCTCTTCCTTCACCGGACTTCGGAAAAGCTGTGACAGATGAAGTAGTCAAAGTAGTGCTACCAACGGTATCTCATTTAAATTACCAAATGGGTTGCAATTTCTTGAACCACGTTACCAACTTAACTGTACCCCTGCTGCACACTGACAACACAAATGTCAAACCGACGGGTAACTTCAATGGAAAACAAAAGTACACCACCACAATTAAAAAAAAAAATATTCCATAAAACATTTACATATTTATTTATTACAAATTTAATGAAAATATAATTACAAAATATAGTAAATTAAATACTTAAATGTCTCTTTTTGTGCTTATACATAGATGACCTATTTTTACTTACGAAAGAACACTGCTCGCATTTGTACCATTTAACGTCCGTTCCACTCAAATGACGATTATTTAGGTGAACCTTTAAACACTCACTGCGTTTCGCCTTGTATGGACAATAATCGCACTGATACGATCTAATTTCCAAATGGACCACTAAATGTCGTTTTAAATTTTGTTTCGTTTTGCCTTTGTATGAACACCTCGGACATTCATAACTTACTGTTTTTTTTAAATGACCCCTTTTTGAGTGTTTCGTTAACGATGGCTTATATTTAGTTCTGAACGGACACTCTTTGCATTCATACCACTTGACTTTATCTTCATCCAGATGTATGCAACGTACATGACGTTTTACAGACGACGAACGTTTACTTTTATATGGACAATCTCCGCATTCGTACCATTTAACGTTTTCTTCGTTCAAGTGTACGAAGTTTTTGTGTATCTGTAAACCGTATTTAACCCTAGTCTTGAAAGTGCACTTTTCGCACTTGTACAATTCACTGTTTTCAACATTTAGATGGATAGGATTTATGTTGATTCCTAAAGGTGTTTTTGATCTGGTTACATATGGACGATACACTGTGACCCTTGCTTTCGAAAGACTCACACTTGGGAGATTTTCTTTCTTTCCTGTGCATGCTGAAGTATGTTGGATCCACTTCAATAAGAGATTTGTTTCGAAATCACATTTTTCGCAAACATATTTTTGTAATCGGAAGTTCTCACTAGGTAAATCTTCTCCAGGTTCTCTTTTAATACCGTGAAATTTTTCGATGTGTTGTTTGAACAGAATCGTTAGTTCTGTTTTAAAATCGCAGTCTTTACAATAAAACACTTCAAGTTCGGCGTTTCCGCAAGTAAATTCTTCCAGGGATGAACGGTGTCGCCTCACATGGTTGATCATAAGGAAAAGCGAAGGTGTAAAGTATGCACAGAGTTTACAGTTGTGCACGTTTTTCCAGGAAGATCTCCAACTTGTTGCGAATGCTTTACAGTATTCCAAAGTTGACATTTTGGCTACCTAAAACTGTTTTATTACACCATGCAAGAATACTAGCACTTTTTTTACTTACCCAAATTTCGTTGGAACACTATTCAAATCGGAAATGATGAAAAATTTCTTCACACACACTCAAGCAACTCAGACGCGCTTAACCTCGAAAATCGACAACTGAAACAGTGTAACTGGTAGACTTTCCCACGTTGAAGGGGTATATAAACATATTCTCCCCTCCCTGGAACGTCACGTACAGAAACTTAAAATTCAATCGACCAATGACAGAAAAGTGGGCATGAGACTGAGTCCTCGCCCATCCCATCCCCCACTCTAGCTTGCATTAATTTGATTTGTTTATTTTTTTGCTTCTTATGAATTCCTCATCTGTTGTTTGTCAAATATATTGTGATCAAAATTTTTCGGAAACTTTTATGTAAGCATAAAATTGATTAGGTAACTAAATATGTACTACGAATGGCTATGGCTACGTAGGTATATGTTATGTACAATCGCACGCAAATGTTTTGAGCCTATGGGCGGATCATTTTTGCCCGTCGTCACTGAAGGAGGCGGTCCAAATCGTCCAAGGGCAGAATTTGTAGGTAGGCTCAAACGACAAGGAAATTTACGTGTTGACCAAATTTTTACTCTGAATTAGTTTTAATTTTATAAATACCCTATCTAAAATGTTCAGAATATGATGAGTCTATACTTGTGATTTACCATTCCATTTATATTTTTTGGATTTGTTTATACATACAAGGTGACTCAAAAAAAAAATGACTGAGTCAATTTATTTTATTGAAGAAATCAAGAATTGCAAAACTGAATACTTTGAAATTTGTCAATTAGTTGGAACCTGAGCCCCCTTTTTTTTGCAATATCTGTGATGTGCTATTAGTTTCCGTAACTTATAAAATTAGAAAAAAAAACCTGTTCTGCTCAAATAAAATCGAGAATATGCTCAAAATCACACTAATATTAGGTCTAATTGTGCCAACCACAGTTATAAAATTCACATTAAAATAAGTCACGGACATTTTTTGAAGAGTACTACATTTCAAAAAACAAAAAAAAATTCAGTTTATAAACTTCATAATTTTGGTTTAAAGTTTATCAATAATGTTTGACGCTTTATTTTATCCGTTCCATTTGTTATCCTTTACTGCGGTCTCTCTTGGGTCGAGGTATAACACCGGACCGAACGTTCTTCGACCGATAGGATAATTTATTACTTCCGACATCTTTTCGGTGACAAATTTAATCTTCGCATACTTCAGCGTAGTTAGTGAACTCGTTGTGACCACTGAAATATACAAAGAGTAAATTTTGAAATGGAACGAAAGTCGAAGAATACTTTCAAAGCCACGATTAAAATGTATTTGCTTATCTTCGCCAAAAAATGCATGACGTCATCGCAAAATTTGATATGATGAGTCTATACCTGTGATTTATCATTGCAGCAATATTTTAATTTACTTATACAGGCTGTCTCAAAAATTTAATGACTAAGTCAATTTATTGTATTGATTAAATCAATAAAATCTGCAAAACCAAATGCTTTGAAATCCTGCAGACGTTTTGAAGTTATTGTAAGCATGGTAACTTTTTAATCAAAATGTATCGGTTATCAACCCCGAAAAATTTTTGACGTCATTTCAAAATTTTGCCTAATAAATTCTACCTAAAATATGCAAATTATGATAAGTTTTTACTTGTAATTTATTATTGCATTCATATTTGTAAGATTTGCATAAACAGGGTGACTCCAAAAAATAATGAAACCGTCATTCTCCACCGGAAGTGGTGAGTCACTGCAACTACACTAGATGAAATTCTTAGGTAATTCTCATTCTGTTTCCGTTCGAATTTTCTAAACTCTTTCTTTACCCGCTTCCACCTCTCCAAAACCGAAATTACCTGTAGACCATTCAAACACCCTTCTAAAAAAACTTCTCCCTCGAGCTCTCAAACTGTAACCATCAAATAAAAAGATCTGAAAACCGTAACCGTCGCTATTTCTCAAATTCATTAACGATACCCACAACGTTTGAATTAAAAAGTAACCATGCTTACAAAAACTTCAAAACATCTACAATATTTCAAAGTATTCAGTTTTGCTATTCTTGATTTCTTCAATAAAATAAATTGACTCAGTCATTAACTTTTTTGAGACACCCTGTATAACCAAATCTAAAAAATATTAATACAGTGATAAATCACAAGTATAAAAACTCATCATATTTTATACATTTAAGATAGGATATATTCTGCAAAATTTTGAGGTGACGTCATAAATTTTTTAGAGGGGATAAGCAAATATATATTAATTAAAAATGTATCATGTTTGTCATGACTTTAAAACAGCTGCAAGATTTCAAATTATTCGATTTTGCAAATTCAAAATTAAATTGCAAAATATTGTTTTATAATTTTGATTTTTTTTCCAAAAATCTGGACGTTTCGGATAAAAACTCAACACGGAGTCATAAACTACATGTATAGGACTATGTTACATGTATACAATTCAAAACCCACTTACTATGCATAAATTTGAAGTGACGTCATCACATTTTTGGTAGGGATGATTAGACAAATTTAATAATTTTGCGACATTTATGAAAAAAATATCAGTTAACAAAAATGGCACGTTTTTATTATTATGCCAGTTGCATGTCACTCAACGACAATATCGTTTTTTCTTATTTATTTATTATGAACATTTAAGAGTATTTTATTTGAAAAAGTGATGAAATTTTTTATACGGAACAATTGGTCGAAAGATGTTAGAAAGCAAAATAATTCCTGTCCGGACCATCGTTACTCACGAACGAAAAGTGACCATTATTTTATGGGAACAACTACCTGCTAAATCTTCTCCGACAAATTTGAGAGAACTGGTGTGAGCCATAAATACTTCTTACCAAAAATGTAAATTTCGTTGTAGTTTGAGCCTTTCTACAAATTCTGCCCTTGAAGGATTTGGACCGCCTTCTTCGGTGAGGGCAGGCAAAAATGATCCGCCCATAGGCTCAAAACATTTGCGTGCGATTGTACTACATTAATTTTTTTTTTAAATATGGAAACACCTACTTAATTTGAATATGTCTAACAAAACAAAATTAAATTTTTTATTATTTATTTACTGTTAAAGAACAGGTCTTTTAACGATTATTTGAAATATAAGAATTCAAATTATAATTAAGTAAATTAAGTATGTAAGAAAATGCTGTTTACACAGTATTTGTATTTTAGCTATGATTTTTATTAAACCAACTGATTATTTTTAAATGTTTTTCAAAATTTTTCATTAGAAACGATTCGCGCTTGTCGCACAACACATGTTTTAACATCGACACAGGTTATTGGAGCAAATTTTAAATTCTCTATTATACTTGGATCTATATCCACATTTAGAAATTCTCCTCCCAAAATTTACTCACAAGCGACAAGTTATTAAAACCTAAGTGGGCATTTTTTTCCAAAACAGATTAAATTTCTGAAAAACTTTTTTGCCTATTTTACCTTGGACATTGTATATTTTTTGAAAACAATTAGTTACGAGCTGAATATCATCTACCAGTGCTAAATTGTGGCATTTCAGTTTTAAATTTATTTTATTGAATAAAACAGGAATTGCAAAACTAAACACTTTGAAATCTTGCAGATATTTTAAAGTTATTGTAAGCATGGCAAATTGGTGATTAAAATATATCTGTTTATTTTCTATTCCGTGTTTATTCTGTTTAGCTAGAATCAACAGTTCAGGAATACTTACTATCTAAATCTGTTTAGAGCTATAACTGAATAGCAAAAGGCTTAGGGTCGAGTTGTACATACTTTTAGTTATTGGGAGATTAAGAGGTTAGCGCTAGCATTACCATAAATACTAATTTCTTATGAAGTACAGTTTAGGTCCTTGACAAATTACCAGGAACCGAAGTTTAATCCCTTTAACGACGTCGGTTTAAAATTTTTGTACCTAACAGCTGGGAGCAGTATTGGGCAGTATCTAGATACTTGTGTCTAAATAAAGTATCTAGATACATTTTTGGGTATCTAGTATCTGTATCTAGATAAAATCGAATTTAAGCCAAAATATCTGTATCTAGATACAAAATTAATGGCGCAGATACAGACACATTTTTTTATTTCACTTTTTTTTCAGTAGTTATTAGTTGAGTTATTCTAGTAGTAATTTTTGATACTTCATGTTGGTGATTTTGGTCACATAAACAAAAATAGAGGTACGAGGTCCACTAATAGTGGTCTTCACGGAAATTTTCATATTTTAAATACCATCATTTCCCACATTGTAGCCTTCAGTACTTATACATCTTTAAATATAATCCTGAAGGGTAATAAATCTAAGCCATGGTAAGATGGTATTTTAAAAACCATAAACCACAATTTACTATTCACTGAGTTTTACCCTTATCGGAATAATGCATTTTATCTGTGTACCTGAGCAACCCGGGTCCGGTAAGGTCGTTGGTTGTATTTGTGTTATTAAATAAGAGTAATTTTAATAGTAAAAATATTTGTTTAAGGTATGTTATTATTTTTAGAAAATAATAATTACGTGTTACATAATGATTAATTTTTGCAATTAGCACAAATTAGTTCTGTAATCGACTAATCAAATGTTCAATACATACATTTCTCTCGCATAAATCGCATATTTGTTACTGTTTTATACCTTTATTTTTCAGACAAATGTAGCATCTTTTCCTGTTGCCACATGTGTCATTTCTTCACTTTTTCATTGTTGGACTTAACGCGAGGCGGGCTTGGCAGGTCCGTTTTGCCCTAGAATGTGCCGATTATGTTTAAGTGTAAATCTTGGGCAATAAAATTAATATTTTTACAACCCTCGGTAGAATAATTTATCGTGATATATTCTCAGAAATCGTGAAACGAGATTAAAATGAAATGAGTTTCAACAAAAATCTGAAAATTTAAAGTTGCACTCTGGTGATTCCGGCCTGCCAGGCAGCCTTTGATCCTATAAGGGG